TTGTTACGCCACCCCCTATTCCTACCCCCAACACAACCCCACCCCCACCCAGGCCATTCCCATCAAAAAAAATTTTAAGAAAAAACTATTTTTGGGAAATATTTCAAATTTAAAGAAATGGCTATCAAATTCTTTTCATTTTTGATCCTTCTTCTTTTCTCTAAACTTTGTCTTGGAGGTAATCAACATATGCGATAAGAATATACATATATTAATTTGTATTTACAATTATAGTATTTTTAAGTACTAAATATTATTATCATCTTTAATTTCATTTGGAGAAGAGATACTTTGCTGTCATATTTTAATTTGTTATTAGTATCGAAGAGTAAATTCCAAATATTTGAACTAATTTTAGTTTGAAAATAAACGATATTCATGTAATTTAATTATAAAACTATTTTTAATACAATGATAATTCGAAAGAACTAATGTCAATTTAGATGGGTACACGTGCAACACACGTATCCAGAATGTAGTAATCATAATAATGCACACATTAAATAGTTGAACAAATTTATAACCTTGTCATGAGGTAAGAATTGATTCTAGAAACCCTTCATATAAAAAAAACAAAATGTAGGAGAAACTAATATATTCATGAAGTGGTTGGCTCTCCAGATTAGAATCTTAAAAAATATTGCATTCAACAGGTGGTCATGCGAACATCCACAAGAGGAATTATGTCGAGAAACTGACTAGCTTCTTGTGGATACATTATCTATAATACATACAATCTGTGAACAGGTAAATCCCCAAAGGTTATTCCCATCTCTCCTTTCTAATCAAGCGCTACACGTACGATGAGTACATCTAGGATGTGATATCCTTGTATGTAGATTTCACACTAGATGACACAATTGACACTGGCAAGCAAGTTGAGGTTGACTAAATGAAGCTTCCCTAAATTGGAGTCAACTATGTGAATAATGTGCCTTCCCTCTAAGAAGTGAACTCTCATATGTATGGTTAAACAAATGTCTTACTTTTCATAGTATAATTAGATATAACACAAGAAGCAATAAGCTAATATAATAACATATTGGGTCTTTACACTTCTATAAAGTGTCTTATCTTTTAAGCTGGTGAGGTGAAGTTTAAAATGCCATAAGAGAAAACGAGGTAGGTAGGAGATTGGCAATAACATCAGTAAATATTGAACATGATGCTTTGTTTCCTTGAAGAAAAATTTATAGAGAAAAAAAGCAAATGACTCTAACTTAGTACAATATCATATCACACCACCCCAACCA